TGAGTTTTTCATGGAATTTACTCCACTTATTTAAGAGAATTCTGCGTGGAATTTAGAGGAAATTTTGAATGAATTCTGATTGAATACTTAGGAGAGATTATTTTAAAAGAATTCTTTGTGAAATTCCTAGGAGGCTGTAGGTTTCAGGCACTGATTTTTTTTAAACCTTCTACTGTATTCAGTTCATTCTATGTTATTCACTCCCCTTCGGTCTTGGTTACCCATGTTTGATATTAACCTAAGATGTTGCAAAACCAATAGTTATACTTTTAAAAATGGGTAGATTTTTTGTTAGAAAATAGCAGCGTTCCTGTTTGAATTATAGCATTAACAATGTAGAAAAATATTAAATAATTACTGTTAATTTTGTTTGATTGTTAGGACATGACACAACCTATACATTTACAATTTTTTGTGTGTTTGTATGTTTCATGAATTCAGTTTCCGAATTACATTTTTTTCGGCCAGAAATCTGGAATGTAAACAGCTATGCTTACAATAGTTAAATAATGTTGTGATTCTGCTAAGATATACTTTAAAGTATGTATCTCTAAATTTTTAAACAAAGAAATATTGTGTCTGAAGAGGATAGATTTCGTGTGTTTGAGTTTTGATTTCCCTATCGTGATTGTGTTTTTACTTCTGTTTGAACGAGTTTATTGTAGCTTAGAATCCATAAATTTCGAGAAGCGTGGAAAGTGTTAATATTGATGGATTTTATTTTATCAATTTCTGGACCCATGAAATGCAACGGTTGTGCAGTTTGAATGCATAGTTCATGAATCCGCATCATTGGACATATATCATGGAATTATTTGCCATATGCCTCACGAAAATGGAGGTGAGAAAAGTGGTATCATCTTTTCGTCGTGAAAATTTACAAGAACCGGGTCATTTGCAGCCATTTTTGAACCAAAAAGTGAGTGCAGAGGTGGTGCAATTTGAATTCAAAATGTGTGAAGCCTCCCAATTGGACATCGACTATGGCTGGCTTTGGTGAGTTTGTTCCAGTTGGGAGACATGCTTATACATTTGTTATCACTGATCTTGATTTTTGCGCGTCGTGTGTAGTTCGTAGTTGTTGCAATTCAATGTGCATGTTGAGTTTGGGATTTCGAAAAGGGTGTATGCGTGATTCAGTTTGGAAAACATTGTAAACTGCTTTCGGGGACCTCATTTCATTTGAATAGTTTTTAGTTAAGTCGGTAGTGGATTGTGGTAATTTAAGGGGCACGGTAGCTATAGAGCAAACGTTTTTGTTTATTGAGCACAAAAACATGGGTTGGAACCCAAGCCTCGTTTCATTACAGAGTTGATCTATCCCAGGCTTCAATTGTAGAAAATCGTGCATAATGGGTTTCGGCGGAACGATTCGGAAAAGTAATACATTTGTTTAGGCAAAAGTGACGTACGCTTGAGCCGGTTCGGAAGACATTGTTAACTGCTTTCGGAGATGCCATTTCATTTTAATAGCTTCTTGTAACCGATAATGAACGATCGTCGGTCGCAGCTTGTTGTGATGTATGAAGCAAGGTGGTCTTAGAGTGACCGTTTTCGCTTACTGAGCAGAAGATCGTGGGTTAGAATCCAAGCCCCTTTACATTACTTATGATAGGGTCGTGTTTTTGCTTACCAGGCTTTAAGAGATCGCAACACATTCCAATGTGAATAAAGATCTAATTCACCCTTCCCACTAACAAAAACAAACGTGGAGATCAGTGTTGGCAAAATCAGAAATCAATTGATAGTTTCCCGCTCTCATGCGCTCGCAATATCACGCGTGATATTGAAACAAAATCTCATGCTTGATATTGATTTTACAAGCTCCTTTGATATTGCGAGACTATTCACAATGTGCAAAATCAAGCTGAGAGTTGACTCGACACAAAAATGATTCCATTGCACATCGTTTTCTTAGAAAGAGAAAGCATAGTTCGCTATCTCTTTTTAATCTTCACCGATGGCAGACGCGAAGGGACTGCTGCAAGCCGTTATGGAAGTTTCGGTTGCATTCGGATGTAAAGCAAAAATTTAATGATTTGATTTCACCACAGTTTGGTGAGATTTGCAGTTGGTGAGTTTTGTTAGCTTGATATTCCGAGCTGCGATATCACAGCTTGCAAAATCAATCGCACTAGTTTGCTTGTTGATTTTTGTCTACGAAAATCAAGCGTGATCTTGGGCGTTGGTGAGATTTGATTTTTTGATATTTCCAAACACTGGTGGAGATACAGAGATATACTCGGTCTCTAGTATCAACGGGTGTCGAAATAACAAACCTTTCTCTTCCCAATGACCGCAAGGACGTGGCCGGTACCATTATTGACCTCAAAAATAAGGATTCACCGGATTTTACACACTGAGAATGGATTGCTAAGCCCAAGCCCCAATCATATGGTTCTTTGTGCTACATCTGGCCAATCACGGAGTAGCACCCAAGTAACCAACAAGCCTGCTAATTCGCCTTTTTGCAATTATAAGACTACTTAATATGCCCCGGAACCGCTGAGTTCCTGAAGGGAACCCCCTAAACCCCAAGCTGCTGGTTGGCACTCAAGACCTTTGTAGGTTCCGGGTCTCAGGGCGTATAGGCGTGGGAGACTTTTCGGACACGGGAGAACCTAACCAACGGTAAACGGTTAAATACCTGTTTATTAGTTTTGACGGTACATTGCGGGCGGTGGGCGACGATGGCGATAGTTCGGAGGTGGCGCTGGTCCAGAGGACGCCGGTACAGTGCGGGCGGTGGGCACCGATGGCAACGGTGCAGGTGATACTTTGGGGTTGACGGTGGTCCAGAGGATGCCGTCCCTGCTGGTAGTGGCTTCGGAAGTGGAGATGAACGTGATGGCGGCCACTACATGGGCCGAGCCAATGGCCACGACCAGGGCGATCTCTTGGTGCTGGCGAAGCTAGTAGGACTTCGTGGGGTACTCGGTGACGCAGTGACCAGTGGTATTTCTCGTCCGTAGCTCGGCAGCAACCCACACAAAGGCGGTGGCTCCGATCAAGGCGTGCTATTGTGGTGGCTGGCCGGTGGCGACGCCACTGGACAGGGTTTGGCACTAGTAATAGCCAAGACAATGGCGGCGGTGATGGAGGTTGACTGGTCGCCTGAGGCCAGAAGCGGGCCGGATCCCCGGCAGCGTAGGTGCTCGTTAGCGTGACCGACGCGATAGATGTCGCTTGGCGGAGCAGACACGGAAGGTCATCCATCACAGCTTTTTCCAAGACCGTTCGCGGTAAGGCGAAGCTACGACGTCGAGGTGGCAGAAACTGGTCACTTAGACTCTTCGTCCGTAAACTACACGAACAAGGTTCACTCCGTGATCTCCTTTCTGTAGCTCGATCCTGACTGCCTTCGCACCGTTGTCGTTCTCTGCTCCCGATCATGCGTTTCACTGGCTCTCCCCTGAGTGAGTTTCCGCCCCAACTTCATTCAGGTTCAGTGGATTCCATCCACCCACCATTAGCACTCACTGATTAGCTGTTCGGTCACTCTTCTGATCTCAGCCACCCGCGCATTCAAACTTGCCGTTACAAATCGGAATAAATCAATTCCCTAATATAAACTATCTTACTCTTCAGTGTCATTTAATTTTTAAGTCAGCAATATTACCCGCCGGTAACACAATATAAGGCTAATATGCGGCTAATATAAAGCTTAGCATGCCCTATGTTAGTCGTGTATCAGCCTTATATTGCAAAAAGGTGAATTAGCGGGCTTGTTGGTTACTTGGGCAGCTACTGAAATGTATGATCATCAATGCTCATGCTTATGCTGCTCAGAAACTTTCCGTTAAAGTCCTGGAAAAACCTTCTGTGAATATTTCAAGTTGGACACTTAAACACTATCAAAAATCCTTAAGCAACAACTATTCGAAAATTTTCTGAATTATTTGTTTACCCATTTTTTTTTTATTTTGCATGGTTAAAAAAATGGTTTTATGTGCAAAACTTCCAAAACATTGTTTTTTTTTTTAATGAAAAATTTGCCCAAAAGTTGTTGCTTAGGATTTTTGTTCATTTTTATGTGTTCAACTTGAAATTTTCACAGAAGGTGGCATTTTTCATAAGCATTTTAATGTTATTATAGTTTTAAACAGTTTTTTGGTTTCTTTACCCAAATACACAGAAATATGTAAACCATGTTATATGAAAAGGAATATATTTTTCCTACTACTTTGTCTCAAACGTCATTTCGATTGGAAGTTACGTTTTCGATTAAAGATTTGTTGAAAAATATCACATACGCACAAATGGTCGAAGTTTAGCTCAAATCATAACAAAGAATTATGCAAAGTTTCAACCAAATTGTGGAAGGTCGCATCTAGTTGAATCCTCATGCGACGTGGAACTGCTCATCATTCTTCACCAACAACGAGCTTCATCTTTTTTCCATCGATTGAGAATGGAGCGCGAAACACTGAGTGTCCTCACTGTTTGTTATCAACCTGCTTAAATTTATGAAAACTTCAATTTGTAACTTGTTAAAACTATTTCGGCGAAATTGCAACCAAAATCTCCAAAACTTGTTGTAATCTTTAACTGGAATCCATAGACAACATAAAGCACTAATGGAACATCACTAAATTCAAGCCCCAACCCGCCGCACATCGTTGCTCTAAGCATATAGCTCCATTCTCCATCCTGATGGTCCAATCTGGCCCCCATCAAGAGCAGCATATTTCATCGCACTGCTCGTTCGTAGGAGAACCTCGTTTCGCACAGTACGAACCTACCTCTATGCAGTAAAACTTGCTCGCGCGCAACTCGATTGCTCTCTCTCGCAAAACACTCGCCTAGCGTCGCGACGACTGACTCCGACCGTACCGAGCGAGCGCCAACCGAGACCCAATGTAGGCAGGCGGCAATCAAAGCCTCTGCCAGACTCCACAGCTCGTGTCGCGCATTGACCATGTTGGGGCGCGCAGAAATTATTTAACCGCGATACGAATCGGTTGTGTTTTTGGCGTTTTTCGCGCTGTTTTTTTTTTAAATCTAAGCTCAGCATAGCTGTCGCGAGTTTGGCGTTTAAGTTGGCGTTCGCGTTCATGAACACAGTGTCTGTCTGTTGGCACGCGCACCCTGCAAGTGTATCAAGTGCGTGTCCCGAAAGGGAAATCTTAGACGGTACGGTTGGGGTTTTAGTTTCTGTTTGAACGGGACGAGGTGCGTCTTTTTGGAGCATTGGGGAGTTTTGGGCATTCAGTAAACGGGCCACTCTTCTATTTATCTTCGGCTGTTTCTCTCTGTCTCGTGCTACGTGCTTACGAATATCAGCTTCTTTTGGAGGTTTCTGTATGTGATTTATTTTTCGGTGACGGATGTTGGGGCTGATTTGGTATTTTTTTTTTATCTCTAAGAGGATTTTCGCATGCAAGAAAGTAGAAAGTGGTACGTTTGCAAACGGTCTCAACTTGGGCAGATGAAAGTTTTCGGTTGACAAAAGTGCACAAATTAGTTTCCGAGACATGGGTCGTAGAAGAGATTTCGAAAAAGTGCAACGTGGAAAATGGCTGAAGCTTGAGAAGAAACGGTGAAGTACTGAAACTACGGTCTAGTGAAGCAAACCTTTACCGCAAGTATACATTTTGTGCACAAATGAAAACGAGAAATTGTCCGGATAGAGTAAAGTGCTGTGCAGCGCGTGGATGATGAAGGAATAAAAAAAAACTAGTGGAGTGCAAGTGCCGAGGAGGTGCCTTACAGACGTGCGGGGGAGGTTTGGAGAACTTGCACCGCGGCACCTCTCGGGAGATAAATTATGCAACTTGACCGCAGTGCTGCCGCGGGGCATTCGAAGGCTGCCTTTATGCGGTCACCGTGCGTTTCTCATTCAGAACGCCGTCGTAAGGACGGATCCTGCGATCAAGGTCTCCGGCGAGTGAAACTGCGCCAGTAGCAGCGGGGCAGACACGTTTGCAAAAATTCGATTCTACGCGGGACCTTAAACTAAAACGACATTTTGGGCTCCTTCCAAAAGCAATAGGTGTGCATTAACGCACTGATCTAAGCTCCTTGCGTTAAATCACGGTGTGTGAGTGCGCGTGGAGATCAATATATATATAACAAAAAATGATCAAGTCTATCGGTTCACCGCTGTGATATTTATGGGTTGTCCGTCAATGTCAGATTGGAAGTTTTATACGCGGCCTGAGATTGACGGGAAAAGAACAAGTTTCTCGCATCCAGTCGCGTGAGTGTGTAGCTGTTTTGTTGTTGTTCAGCCAGTCAGCCAGCCAACGCCAAGAACCCTGAAGCCGCTGTGTGACATTTGGTTGTACAAATCGGAAAACTGATCGTTCGGTTCAGTGTTGCGGTGCAATATCAGCAACAACAGCAGCAGCAGCACCGTGACTGTTATCAGCTTAGGAAACTCGTAAAATAGCGTCGCTCGCACATATCGATGGGTGGTATATTGAGAGTGGATGCTTTCCGGGCGGGTGATGAAGTTTGGAAATTATGTAGCTCAGTCGGGCGGTGGTTGATAGGTAGGTAGCTGACCTTTTGCGATCGAGCAGGCGCTAAGTTTGGAAAGCTTGAGGAAATTGTTGGTGTTGATTCGTCGAATACGTCAATAAAGGTTCTGCCGGACGCTGGCTTCAGTACAGGTTTGTTCGGCTCACCTTTACGGTTTTTGTGCTGCCAGCTGATGTTTTGAACTGTGAAGATTTGAAACGATCAAATGTTCTACATAAATTAGAATAATTTATTGGACAACGGTAGAGATCTCTATTTGGGATTGCTAGAGAGGTTGAAAAGCTGTGCCAAATAAGGTGACGAATGGTGAAGTTTTTTGTTAAAGGAAATAAATCTTCCAAATAAGAGGACAATAAAGCTAGATAAATCTAAATATTTCCTGATTATGGAGTCAGAACTTGATTTTCAACTTTAATAAATTACCTATGTTTAAAACATGTGTGCTCAATAGTCCCTAATAGTTGGTTATATCAATTTAATGGAATTTCAACACTATGATCTTCCAAAATGCTGTTAAACTGTTTAAAAGCTGAATCAGCATTTTTTTTTGCTGTTTGGTTGAATAAGCTCGTATTCCGCATTCAATGTTTGTTGAGGTGTACAATACCTTATTCAAACGTAAAAATGTCTTATTTAATTTGCATCGTATTCTATTTAAACATTAAAAATGAAAAACAAGACTTTACCTCATACATACAAAGAGAAATCGTTGCTTGTGGAGTTTTAGCCAGTGTTCATTTTCCCTATTCCTTGTATTCCTCCTATCTGTTGTAGTAAGAATACTGTCCGGGATTGGTATATTTATTGCCAAAAACCAAGTTTCAAGAAAACCAGAAATTGTGTTTATACAAAGATTTTTCAATATCTTACACCGAAGCAGATAATATTAGATTCTCTTACAGTTTCGTATAAAATATATTTTGTATCATAATAAATCCCTTCATATACAAATTCTACAGTGTAATCGTCAATTGACTCTTTTTTTCTGATAATAATCAATTTCAGTTGCATCAATGGTCAGAGTACTGGCAGAAGTTTGCTTGTTGTTCAGTTTTTTTATATTTTTTTAATAATTAAATGATGCAATGATTTATAGAATTGCTAGGATTTAATCATTTATGCTTTCTCCGGTATTGTATGTGATCAGAATACTATTTTATTTGAAATGATGCTCAACACATTGAGAAATTGTGATCAAAATACCAATTATTCAACGAATTGTTTTCGAGAATTAGCAAGTTTCAGCAAACTTTTGACTCATATTTTGTAAGATCGTAATTAGAACTTGTTTCTATAGGTCAAACATATAAAAATAACCTTTATACATGAGCTGTGGAGTCGCATCTAAATCGACCAAATCGGAGTCCGACTCTGACTCCTCTAATTTCAAAATAACTGACTCTGGCGCTGATTCGAAAAAAAAATAAACAAAATGTAGTTTAAAAATTTTTTGTTGATTAAGTTTTTGAGAAAACATTTATATCGGCTCCGCAAAGCTACAGCAATTGAGCCTTGAAAAATAAACGAATTATGAAATTAAACTATATATTATATTAAATTAAATTATATTCCATGGAATCTGGCTATGAAATTTATTTTTTGATGTTTGAAGATAATTTACTTTAAATTTACTATTTTTTCAAAATGTAAAAAATATTTTCACATTTTTACAAAATGTAACTTAATTCAAACCTAGCCATGCATGTTTGCTGATGTTTTTTCAGGTGAAAATTCCAAGCGTTAATATTCTAGTGATTTATTTACTGCATTCTGGAACTTCATTAGACATTTGAACAATAATACTTAAATATGATTTTAAAATTGTTTATTTTACTGACAATAAAATATCACAATTTTTCTATTAATAGTTTCAATGGCCCCCAATTGATTTTAATAATCAAAATTTTAAACGAAAAGGTTTTATTTTCTAACGATATAACGCTATAACGTAACATTGGTCATTTGAAAAGACATTCGACTCAACTTCTAACAAAAATGTCACAACTTCAAGCCATATTGAATAACTTTGAACTAAACTGATCGCTCAATCTTTAACTTAAACATTCACTTCTTCTAATGGAATCGCATAAAATATTTTGCAATGAAATGCATACAAAACTTCTATCAAAATTGATAGCAGGCATTTGAATTTATAAAAAACTTGGTCACTTTTCAAACAAAATTTGAACGAATTTAACAATCAACAATCCCATTGAAGTCACAATTTCACGACTTGATCTAAAATTTGCTCCAATCTCTACGAAAATGCACACACTTTTTAAACAAATCTGTTAATTAGATTGATTTTAAAATATATCAAACTCAGATGCCAAACTTTAAATTATATTGGCATTAATTTCTATGAAACTAATTTGGCCTGATTTACAACATAAATAGACCACAGCCTCTATAGAAATTAGTCACAACATTCAATGATCACAGATAAAAATGGGCAGGCATTTTAAAAAATATATCTGTTTCTTCTAAAGAGAAGTTTCCAAATTTTCAACGAACAACTGGGGCAAGTTCTGACGGAAATGAACAGAATTTTGATTAAGCTTGTCATAGTTTCAAAATAAAATCATGATGTTGTTTAAAAGAGATTGGTCAAAATATTAAACAAAATTGGTCCCAACTGTAACGGAAATTTTTAGTACCGCTTAATATGTTATTTTTTTTTCACAAAAGACGGTTTAAAATGGTGAAGATATAGGTTTATAGAATTAACATTAACGGAAATTTTTATTTGGCTCTGTAAAGTTTATTCGATTGAGCCTGTACAAATAAATTAATAAAAAAAAATACATAAGAACCGAATTAACAAAAAGTTTTGAAATCTTACCAAATGTTTTGTTCAACTATTTTTGTAAATTTCAAGTGTCCATTGCTATGGGCATTCCAGAAATTTGCATTTTTTCTATGAGATTTAAAAAAAAATCAATAAATAGGGGAAATGGCTCTAATGTTGGCCTATGGATCTAAGATTGGACCCCTCGCTAAAAATCTGCTATTTATCAATTGTACGGTACTAATGGATATTTTTGGTTGCTATTGCTGGCATTACATGCATTTCCTCTAGCAGATTTTTTTTTCAGAAGACTGCAAAAAATGTCTGTGAATTTCAGAAATGTCTGTAGCTGGGCTGCATAAAATTAGTACAATTTTTGCGTGTGACGGGGGTGATCATGAAATCGATCCGAAATTTGAAATGTCTGAAAAGTCATGTTCGAGCAAAAAACACCTGATTGTACCGAATTGAACCTAATTGGAGTTGGGAATGCATCCATTTACGCCGTATACGTTAAATGCAATTAATAAAATGATAAATTACGATTGCCCAACAAATGAGGTCAACTCAAAGTTGAGATTAGTTCACTCATATTCTTGAAAACGTACACACTATTGGAGTCAATACGGTTTTACTGAGTTTTTGAATTGCGGAACTGTTCGGTAAAAGTTTAAAAATCTGTGGAAAATTTATTAATGAGAAAAATTGTTCTGAGCTTGTACATACTTAGTTCTGTTAACCCCATTTAATGAGAGAAAATAAAATTGGTTGATTTCATTGATTCCTTACGTCATTTGAATTTTACCGACTTTTTCAGCAATTCAAAAACCCAGTAAAAAATACTGACTCCTGTAAAAAATCT